CATTTTTTGTACAGATATATAAATATATATCATACTTCATATATAATATTAGAAGAGATATTATCTTCTTCTCATTGCTTTAAATATTATTGCTTATTTATGCAGCAATTAAAATTGGCGAGCAATCTTGTATTTAGCAAATCTTTCTTTTTGTGATGAGAATTTGTATAATCTCTTCTAATTTTAACATTTTATTTTCGCAATCAAATACTATTCATATGTTTTTAATCCATTCCAAAATATATCAGTAATGCATGATATCAGTATGCTTGATACTAAATATGTGCGAGAACAGAACCGTTCAATTTTGCAGCCTGTCAATATAAGCAAGTGCTAATGCAACCTTGTGTAAATAATTACATTCTTGCAAGAATTATATACTAATCTGTACAGCATGTGTAATATATGTGTGCATTAATTCTTCATGAAACGGTTCTGTTCAATGATGGAATACCTCATTACACTGTACGTTATCTGTATAATTCATTCATCAATCTCGAAATTTACAGTATTAATTTGCTGTCGAATCAAGCGTTGACTCCCAGAAGACAATGCGATAATTTCTACTTACTTAAACGATTTTCCTCTCTTATCATCCATGATGCATGGTTGATTTGATATATATATGTACAAATAATTGAAAGCATTGCGAGTACCTTGTGTGTCTCGTGACTATCGATAACATTTGATCGTTTGCGATGTTTGACTGATTGAGCGCACCTTTTCTAATAAACGTTTTCGATATCATATTATTTATATGATATATATCACATCGAATCGAATTTATTAAGAACATATGTTTTAGTTGCTGATTATTTGGCCATTAATGTTTATTAACATCAGCCTTAATGCATGCAATGCATGATGTAGGATGGACCGGAAGTTGCAGAAAGTATTCTCCGACGTGACGCGCCGCGTGCTGCGGCTACGTACGTGCCCCTGGCGAATCTTGATAAACAGGTCGAAATACTTCTCAATTCCTTTAACTAACTGAGTGATGTGTATAAACTGAAACTCTGTATTTTGGTTCAATAGTTGCACTAATGCTTTCTCCCATATATACATACATGCACTATTATTAATCTTAACGAAAAGAAAAAAAAAAATCTCTTTCTATCTCTATTTCTTGTATATATTTTCCGCATCAATGTGTTACCCAGATAGTGCACAATTCCGTTACTATGGATGTTATTCATGTATTATAGAGCGCCTTAGTGTGGACCGGTCTCGCTGAAGCGTGGAAGTCGTACGTGCAATCATTAGAAGTGCCTCCTTTAATGCTTACGCAGGAGGAATTTTTGAACGAGATTCGAAGAATCAATCCTTTAGTTTGTTTGGAACATTGTAGACATCTCGGATTACAATTACAGGTTTGTAGTTTATAATTACAATTTATTTTACAAAAAAAAATGTATTTTCTTTTTTACTGTAAATCTATAAAATAACAGAATTTGGGGGAATGCATTCTTCTGCCTGGAAATCTGATAGTACTTAGTCCCGAGTGGTTTTGGCAGGATGTGCTGAATTGGCAATTGAGTCCCGATCAAAGAGGACGATTGGGCGGTCGAACTACCGGCGTTTATACGTTGGAAGATTTTCAGGCGCGATGTCCATGTCCCGCTGCACAAGCTTTGCAAGCTTTACAAGCGGTGAACTTATGCGTTCCGGTACGTTCGAAGAGAGATCTGATCAATCGATTGATTATTATCTGACTATATCATTTTAGTGCGAAGTAGATGACGACGAAGTGGAATACGAGATACCCTGCTTAAATCTCGTAGAACGTCTTCCAGGTTTATGGGAACCTTGGAAACCATGTTCGAATGCATTATCTCACGCTGGTTTACGTCTTTGTCCAGAAGAAGCACCTTTATATCATTTGACAGCGATATTTACGCATTTACAGGTAATCAATGTCCTTAATTTAAAAAAATATAATAGAAATATTAAAATAATAAAATCGATGTATAGGCGCAACTGAGAAAGATTACTCAAACATGGGATCCAACGAATTCGGATTTATATCAGTGGTGGCGAGGATCAAAACTATGTCTTGGACCTTGCGAGAGCATAATTACCTTTGAAGAAGAAGAACATAGTTGTGTCGAAATCCAAGTTCGCGGACCACGCGGTTCCAGTGCGCAATGCTTCGCTCTTCTCAGCGTGATCTTGGACGCGATGGACACGACTATTGAATTAGTCGCGCCGGGAATGTTACTCGAGAGACATTGGCTAAGTCCTAGCCAGCTTCGAGAATACGACGAGGTCGATGAAGATCAAAACACATACTTAAATTTATTTATTATAAAATAAAAAGATTGATTATTTCTATTTTAACCGATACATTTACAGGTAATTCACTCGTGGGCACCCAGCACAATCATATCGGCTTTAATCGATAAAAATCTCGAAGAGGCAACTCTTAAAAATCCTCTAAACGACCGGCAAGAAACAGTGTGGGAGATAGTCGGCTGTGGGCTGCCGTTGATGGAGAATTACGTTCCTGGACCGAAGCAACCTGTGAAATATATAAAGCCCGCTGTACAACGGCGATTGGCGCAGATGCTAGATCCACCTGATCATCATGGAAGAGATTGGTGCTTACTCGCCGTGAGACTTGGCTTAGGCGATCGCGTAGCCCAACTGGATAGTACAGTAGACAGTCCCACTCTAAGGTATTTCTGAAATAGGCCGATTGCGTCGTACGTAACGCAATTCTTTATTTTGAATTACTTTGATTCGCAGATTGCTAAACTGTGCGGGTGCAGAATGCACCGTTGGTTCGCTGGTACAACAATTACGAGCACTCGATCGCGAAGACGCCGTGCACCTGCTTCTCACGTATACGCCAATTTACGTGTTGTTGATGTCCGTCGACTCGGAAACAGGATCTAATCTTTCCAGATGACGATGTTGCTCTCATCAATGGCGTATTAGCACCTTCTAAACTTTTTTTTTTCCGAGACGTCGCGCGTTTGATGAATTTAAAGTATCGTCTTTCTTATCTCCGCCCAGTGTAAAGTGTACGTTAATTTGTGAAATAAGTGTATATCATAATGTGTATATTAGCACCTTCTAAACTTTTTTTTTTTCCGAGACGTCGCGCGTTTGATGAATTTAAAGTATCGTCTTTCTTATCTCCGCCCAGTGTAAAGTGTACGTTAATTTGTGAAATAAGTGTATATCATAATGTGTAACTTAACTTTAATGATCGATCGCATTGCACTTCGAGTTGAGCGATATTGAAAAAAATCTGTGACATATTTCGTAAACTATTTTATATTTGTTCTCTTTTTCTCTATTTTTTTACTTTGTACTTACTAGCCTACGAGGCATTTGTTAAATTCATACATCGATATTTGTGATATTATCGCAAACGGAAATCGATATCTTGTTACGCTTTTTAGTTTGCATTAATTACAAATATTATATTTGCATTAATTATGCAGATTTATACTGTTTAATACTTATTTTTATTTTTTGATGGTTGCGCACTGTGATTAATATCGTGTTAGTAAACTTCTTGTTGCGCAATTTGCGTTTTTCTCGTTATATATAAAGCTGTTGTGCCAGAGAAGTGATGCATTTACATATTATAATGCGCGATATGATCATATTTGATATTGATATTGTTTCGAGCGATTTTCTTGAAACGCTGATCTTGATATATATATATATATGTATATATGTATATATATACATGTATTACATCTTGCCAAAACTCTGTCAATATGCACCGCTTTTTCAATACTTCGGGATATTTATGAAGCATATATATGCGCAAAAAGAGTGATACAAGCATTCACACAGTCTATTACTTTCAGATATATCGTTCATGTTCAATGATTGAACGACCATATTTTTATTGAATTGTATTCAATGTCTTTACTGCGTGCCATATGCAAAAATTAGTAAGAGTATATCGATACATATACTTCGAAAAAAGATTCAAGATATAATAGTCGCAAATTAACTCTTTCCAAACACGACTGGACTGCATTACTTTTTATTGTCAATAAAATTTTCAATATTATGTAAGTTTACTTACGAATCTATACTTGTGAATCGATCAGAAAATCGAAATCACATAATAGGTATATAAGTTAAGAAATGTTTATGGTTAATCTAATGAAGTTGCATCAAAAACATTCTTAGAATTTCATTCGCGTAGCTCTCTTGTCACATGCAGCATCTCATAGTGGCTTACATGAAGAAGCTATGTGTTATATAATCTGAGACTGTTGTAAAAATAAATCAATCAAATTATTAAATATATCTTTCGCTAGATTTAATTGTCTTATTTTTTATTCTTATTAAATATTTATGATATTATATAAAATTGAAATTTTCATTTTCTATTCACCAATTTTTAGATTCACATCTGATTCCACAGATCGATTGAATTCGCAATTTTTAATTTGACGAATTTTTATAAGAGATTGGGTCAATTTTTAGATCTACAACTTTATAGTTTCATCCTACGAATCCTCTATTAAAAATATAAATTCTTTAATTAAAATTCTACATTTCTCGAATTTCTTAAGCTTCATTCTCGTTTCATCGAAAGCTTCGTCGAAAGCTCCCGCGTTTGACGTTAACCCGCTTACTCGGCGGGGCTGACCAGCGGGAAGATTCGAAGCTGGTCCATGCCGATTGACATTTTAATTAACGGCCTATAATGTCAATCACGTCTGTCGAAGATTGACGTGGACTGGCCAGGCTGTTTACAACGAGAGGTCGATTACGTGGCCGATGGAAAACAGGAACGGGATACTTTTTGGGGGCCGAGAATAGCATGGGAAAGGACGGATATCGCGTTTCGTGAGCAGCCACGTCGATGACGAAGATCGGCGGAGAGCCCGGAGGGTAAGTTTCGGGACGACAGCCAAAGTCCCCAAGCAATTATAGAATTGGATTGGATCGGGGAGTTCGGGAAGGCGGCCGGCACCGTCGTCGACTGATTTCGTTTTATTTTAACTTAGCTGTCGAAGGCATCCGGTTGTGCATTCTCCCCGCGGATCATCGTCACGATCACAGTGAGTGTCCCCTTTAGTAGGAATTTCTCTGCTCGTCCAGCATCATCGCGCGAAATTTATTAAACGATCTGTTGAGGGGTGCTTTACGCAATCTATTAATCGCGCTCGATACGCGCGATTAATAGAGTGATAATATTATCGTTGAATGAGACGAGGTAAAACCTCGCGGTGAATAATACGAGATAATTCTTGGTTGCACCACCCGTGTCTTCCTTTTTCGTTATACTTATATATATATATATATAAGGTACAAATTTTATTTACCAAATTTTATTATAATTATTAAAATAACATGGATATCATTCAATTCATATTTAAATTAAAGACGCGATTTATAAATTCGAAGATTAGTCACATAATTATCAGGATACTTTTTATCTCATACTTTTAGCCTATCTATATTCGCATTATAGTTTTGTGAGATCGATTAAGATAATTAATAAGGGAGAAGCTCGAAATTATCGCGCATCACGATGGAGGCGATCAAGAAGAAAATCGCGGCGCTGAAGCTAGAGATGGACGTTGCAAGTGAGAAGGTCGAAGTTAATGAGACGAAAGCGAAACAGGAGAATATAAGAGCCGACAGGCTAAACGATGACCTTAGGGATCTAGAGAAAAAATTGGTCCAAATGGAACGCGATTATAGTGTCACAAAAGCTAACTTGGAGCAATCGACCGCCGATCTGGAGCAGTGCGAAAAATCTTGGTCTAAAGTATGTAATAATGATTAGCATTAATGATTTTTGTAAATTAGAGCACTTACAGAAAGATGAACAGTATTTTTATAAACTTGTCATAATATTTTAAATATGATAAAACTATAAAGAATTTGAAATGCTATACTATATTTTCATCTCTATAAAATATCTACTAAAAAATTAAAAGAGCTTTTTATTTATATCAATTAATATATATATACATATAGGCTGAGCAAGATCGTACTATTTTGACAAAGAAAGTACAGGAGATCGAAGCCAGTCTTCACAAAAAGGAGGAATTGCGTCTTTCTGCTCAGACAAAACTGGCACGTGCAACTGAACTCGCGGACGACGCGCAAAGGTTTATTGTTATTATTGCAAGTTTTAATTTTATGCAAATTATGCATTACAGTCGTAAATTTTAGTAAACGTGAATTGAAATGATATGTTATACAGTAATACTCAATAAACCAATATTATCTTTCTTTCTTCTTACGTGCAGAATGTGTAACGTTCTGGCGGATAGAAGTCGTTTGGACGAAGAACGTATGGGAAAATTGATGTCGGAGCTGAAGGATGCAAGATTAATTGCCGAGGATGCCGACGCAAAATCTGATGAAATAGCTAGGAAATTACAGTTTGTGGAAGAAGAGTTGGAAGCTGCTGAAGAAAGAGTGAAAACCAGCGAAGCGTAAGTGTACTAATTAAAGCTTGCGTTTCATATCCGTGTATATAAATTATCTCACATTGAGAAATTTCTTTATAGCAAAATTATAGAACGCGAGGACGAACTCTTCATCGTACAAAATATTGTGAAATCTCTCGAAGTATCTGAGGAAAAGGTGACGTACTATAATACGCTGCAAGAATTATTATTAGCACTGCATTATATCATTTCTGGATTATTCTAATTTTTAGGCGAATCAACGAGTAGAAGAGTTTAAAATACAACTGAAATCCTTGAAAAAGAAATTGAAGGAGGCGGAGAAACGCGCGATTACTGCCGAAAGGACGGTTAAGACCTTGCTAAAGGAAGTGGATATGAAGGAAGGTACGAAAAGAAGCATATTATTTCAGAAAATTTGTTACAAATTAATTCTAAAAAAGATAAATAATATTCTTTTTTTCGTATGCATTATCGACAAATTGCTATTTGTTTTTAGATGAGCTAAGGGAAGAGAAGGAAAAATACAAGGCAGTCTGCGACGATATGGACTTGACGTTTGCCGAAATGACAGGATATTAAAATTCTGCGAACGAATTTGAATTGATTCTCGCTGTTACTCCTACGCTTTTTTCGTTTATTCGCTATCGTCTAACACAAACATTTCATTATTTCGATCTGCTGTGCTTAGACGCTGCGCAATGCTGATTTGTTTTATAATATAAAGTGCCATGAGCGAAATTAGGAATAATCCGCTTCGCGCAATAATCTACTGATAAATAAGGCAATACAAGTATCGCTTGCTATTATAATTGCTTCGCTTTGTGTAACGCTTTGCCAACTGGTTCACGGTCGCTCGTAGTCCGTGTCGATTGAAGATTGATGATTTCATCTATTTTTTCTTTCAGAGGCATTGGAGGGATTTATTACCGTCCATTACGCGCAAATGAAATTATGATATTGCGGATCCTTTTTATCGTTCTACGTAAAATCTGTATTTTCAATAAACGATACCACAAATTATCCTGAGGGTGGGGATACCTATAAATTATACTTTTTATCCTTTATTTATTATAATGCTTCAATTATTATATACGAAGATTCAAAATATGACTATAAATAAATAATAGAAATAATGAATAATATTTAATGTTTCATTTTTTTAAATTATTTCTTTAATATGATATATTTAATATTAATAATATAATTTTTCCTAATATATTAAGTATATTATTTAAAATAGATGGAAATAATATATAACTGCGAGATATACACTATAATACGTTTATTGTTATATTACATATTGAAAATAATTATATGTTGAAAACATTATTAGTTTTAAAATGCAAAGGATGTATCTGTTATTTTAAATTGCAAAATATATATTATAAGATCTTAAATAGTAAATCGTAAAATTTTAAAAGCAAAATTACTATTTTTATAATAATTATTTATATTAAGCTTAAAATAAAAGGCTTACCACCGATGCAATCGGCAGCGACAATCGACACAACAAAATACATCACTGCTTTAAGAAGTTCAAGAATTCGTTTGAGTCTAACTAAAGCAGCAATCGCTTTTGCTCTTTTGCATTGCATTGAGCCTATAAAACATTGTTCTCATCGGTCACCGAGTACAGTAACCTGCGAGCACATCGCATTTGATACTTCGTTAGTGTTTCTACAGTAATTCAAAATTTTATTTAGCAGAGTGCGAATTATATTAAATCAAAGATCATCATTTTTTTTTTTGCAACGAGAAAAGATATTTCAAAGTGAGTGTTTCTATTCAAAGTGTGCATCCCTTCAAAGAATATTTTCAATTGAACATTTAGGATCGATTAAGAAACATAACAATAACATCCCAAAACAGATATCAAAAATTATTAAAAAGTAATTTTTGCGCAATAAATATTTAGTTAATTAATAAAAGTTAATTTTCGTGATTCATTGCCAATTGGTAAGATGGGGGTTTAAAAGCAATTTAGAATCACTCAATTTATATTAAAAATTTTATTGAATTAATATAATTTTGATTAATTTTTGAAAAAAATGTTTCCATTTATATGTAGCTTTCCAATGAACGCCATTAAGAAACAATTACAAATGCTAAAGCTCGAGAAAGATCTCGCGATGGACAAAGCTGATCTTTGCGATCAGCAAGCGAAAGAGGCAAATCGGAAGGAAGAAAAACTGAGAGATGAAGTCCGCGAACTGGCGAAAAAATTGATGCAAATGGAACATGATCTTAAAGTGAGCAAGACTCAACTGACAAAATCAAACAAGGGCCTTGAGATGAAGGAGAGAATCTATATCGTGGTTAGTGAGTCAAAAAAAATATATCGTGCGTTCTCGAATCGATTTACCTTTTGTTAATTGTAAAATTGCAGACGCAGTCTGAACTGGCTGTGTTAAATAGAAAAATGCAACAGTGCATGCAGAATCTAGAAAAATCCGAGGAACGACGTTTGTCGGCTCAAGCGAAGCTCACGCAGGCCATGGAAACTGCGGAAGATGCAAAGCGGTATATATACATATATGCATATTTATTTTTATATAAAGTTCATTATGCAATACTTTGTATATTGAGTTATAATAATATTATTAATAGTTTTTATTATAATAGTATTATTAATTAATTATATTTTATGAGTTTTTATAAGAAGTGTATCACATGTAGTTGGTATAATATAAGAAATATTACATTTGATACGTGTTATCTATAAAAGTTATATCACTATAAACGTTAGATTTTTATTGGTACCATCATCATTTCCATAGTGAAAAAAGTTATGAGTTATCATAATCGTAAAGTGATTCTTATTCAGCATCTGTAAAGTCCTGGAGAATAGAAGCAAGCAGGACGAAGAAAGGATGGACCAATTGATGACGCAATTGAAGGAAGCGAGACTCATCGCCGAAGACGCTGACACTAAATCGGACGACATTTCAAAAAAATTGGCTTTTGTCGAGGACGAGCTCGAAGCGGCAGAAGAAAGGGTTAAATCAAGCGAGGCGTACGTATCGCCTGCAATTCTCTAAATATAAAGACTGCATTCTTTTCGGCTGAATCCATTCTCATCTATTTTCAGTTTGCTTAAACAAGAACATCTCACAACGTATATCCTTTTTTTGAAGATCATTTATTTTTGCAAGATCTTTTATGTATACGCAATATGTAATTTTATATATATAATATCTTATAATATGTACTAATGTGTATAATTATGCATTTTAGGAAAATTCTTGAGAGAGAGGACGAGTTATTTATTGTCGGCAATATACTAAAGTCCTTAGAAGTGTCCGAAGAGAAAGTAACACTCGTTTTCTACTAATTATTTTATTCGTTTTATATTTTAAAAATTAAAAATGAACTGTCTATTGCAGGCTAATCAAAGGGTGGAAGAGTTTAAAGCGCAACTGAAGGAATTAAAAGTGAAACTAAAAACTGCCGAAAAACGTGCTATAATTGCCGAAAAAACTGTCAAGATATTTACGAAAGAAATGGACAAGAGAGAAGGTGATAATCATATTACATATGCGTTTTATTATTACGCGTTATATATGCATAATATGCGTTATATTATTACACATATTATATATAGCGTTTCTACAAGTTTTCAATTTTTCAAATTTGTCAAATATCAATTGTTATTAATAAAATAATTATTGTCTATGTTTTTAGATTATTTGTCAAAAGAAAAGGAAAAGTACAAATTCATCTGCAATGATCTGGACTCTACGTTTTCAGAACTTACGGGATATTGAACTTGATTTTTCCGTCAAATGTTCAATCGATTATCTCTAATCGAGTTTGCATTGCGTAAATATAAATATAATCGCAATACTTACGTTTATTGAATCATTTGTTTTTAAGGTTCGACCAGAAAAAATCCATTCTGATACTTTACACGATATCAATTTATTTAATCGATTCTACGATCGACACAATGCATCAAAATGCCGTACCACAGATTTAATACAGTTTAAATTTAATCGCACGATTCGTTTTTTTAATCGTACAACCTCCGATCGCAGAACGGAGAGAAAACTTTGCGAGCCTCTTCATTTCACTGAGACTCTCGCGATGTCTCTTGCGCCGATACCCTTCCTTTTTCTACAACGACGTTAATCGTAGTTATAATAACAATTATCCGTTTGATTTATTCACTCGCCTCCATTCATATCGATGCAACAATTAAAGTGCATTCTCCGAGCTGCACGGATTATCGCAAAGAGTGACGAGGGGTGCACCGAGTTATATCACTGCATCATCCTTCGAGGACCGTATAATCATTCGCGAACAAAAATACTTCATCGCAATTGAGATCTTAACGTATCAGATGTAATCAGATAAATAGAAAGATTATCTAATTCGGATTATATTTTTGTAAAAAACTTCTCACAGTCTGTAAAAAATTCGTTGATTAATTTTCCTCGAGATGGTCGTTTATAAAAAATTTATCATTAATTATTTATATACGATTATGATAATGAAGAGAACTGGTCCCCATAAAAGATTACGAGAAGAGATTGACAGAACTCGGTCGGTCCATGACGCAAGAAAAATGTACAAAAATCGTGTCGACGACAACGTCTCGCAATTATACCACGACGAATCGCACTTCGTCTTCTCCGAAAATCGTCTTATCGATTTAATCGAATACTACAAGTTTGATTGACGTGCTTCCCTTATATACATTAACATACGCGCCGTACATGCTTCTGTATGTACGCGCCTTGATGCCCGTGTACTCAACATATGTATTTATATACGTATATCTACGGCCTCGTCTTCGTAGTGTCGCGCACACAGTTTTCCTTAAGTTACCGATATTACTTTACGATAAATCCGTGAAATTTTTAAACGTCACTTACAATATTCTGACATGTGAGATTAGAATTTCTTAACTTTTCCTAAACTGTTTTTTCGTAAGATCAAAGTTATCGTCGACGTGTGTACAGAGATGTACAATAAATTCGGAACAGTCTCCTTCGCGCTTAAATAAACTAGAAAATGGCAATACGTGCGCCATCACAAAGAGAGAGAAGTCCGAATATAAAAAACATCGTACAGTATACTTAACTATTTAAAGAGACACTTGGAGGAGGGTGGAAGAAGATCAACAATAACTCCACTTCACTTGGAAGTCACTTGGATGTAGATAAATATTACAAAAAACGTCTTTTTTTGAAGTATGTAAAACGATCTCATTATTATCCCTTTTTGTACACGATAAATGATCTGCGGGATGGCAGTGTCGCGGAAATATTGGAAGCTCGCGAGGCAGTAGAATGCGCGCGTTTAATTAATTCTAACGGCAATTTTTTATTAGTACTTTCGATTTCAGTCTGAAGAAGAGTTGCGCTGGTACAACTTATTGCATAATAGTAAGATTGGTCGCGTCGGATCATGAGGTTTCGAGGTGCGCGACATTAGAAGAGAGATTTCTTAGAGGGGAGAGAAAGACGGTTCTCTTTCTCTGAAGCGCCTCCGCCGAATTTTATAGCGCAGGAAACGAGATCGTTGCGATCAGCTGATTCGCGCTTGATACTTCCGATCGTGTGTATATCGCGCTTCGCGCACAGAAAAAACATTCTACATAGAAGTCTTAGGATTAATAACGGACTTAAAGTAATCAACGGTGCTATTATTAATACGTATAATAAACTTTACAACGCAACAGAGCCCAATCAATCCATCAACGTTCTCCGTCTTGGAGACTTGGAAGTCTGTGTCTTCTCTCTTCCCCGATTCATTCGCGTATCTCATCCCAATCTTTAAAATAACATGCGCGCACCGAACATAGACGTGCATTATTTCCAAAGTGGCTTCAGACTGCTTTATACATTTACGCGGAATAGAAGAAAATCTTTTTAAAATGTTAATATAAATAAAATTGACTTATCCAGAGAATATTCAGATAATGAAAACTTACACGTATTAAAAATAATCAAAACTATAGCATTTAAATGGCAAAAGATAATAGAATAAAATAAAGATTAATATATAGAGAAATTATGATAGATAATAAATTAGATTATAGATATTAAATATCTCTCAAACAAATTTCTTATACGTGATTAAAAATGTTGTAGATACAAATTAAATATATTCAACACATATAAATAAAGAAACATTATGTAATAAATATTATATATACTAATTAAAAGTGATCAAAAAGATGTAAAGAGATATGTATACGAAAAGTGGCATAAAATTAACACGATAAATTGATAAAAATAAAGAAATATTTGTAGTAGATGTTCGAAATAGAAGCAAATGCAGTCTGCCACCGTTTTCGTTCATGATGTGCGAAGGATTCTTCTGTGCTCTGTTCATATGATTAAGTCTTTGGTCTCGAATGGATCGCCCGCCGGCGAACGACTCGCAGCGGTCTGAGCAAATTGTCGTTTTGGCACGCATTCGCACACGCGATTCGACAATCATCCACACACTCGGACTCGGACTCACTCACGCACTCTACGCACTCCATGCGTCGCGTCACGGACAAGGAAGAGGAGACGCACGCACTTTTAGATACTTTCGACTAACTCTCTCTCGACTCGATCAACGAAGAAGCACATTTATAGAAGAACAGTTGTATAGTTTCGCCCTTTCTGTCATATATTATTAATTAAATATTAGAAAAGCTGATATATCTCTGCGAAGAATGTAAATTTTTTTTTATAAATTATGAATTGAGTTGTGAAAGATAATAGCTTAATTTAAAAATTGTAAGAGTATAAGAGTTTTTTTTCTTTATATAGCAAAAAAGTCATTCTTTTTTTATTCGGCCCGATATACGCGTCTGTTCTTCTATACTCGTCCACTTCGTTGCCTTGATCTTCTTTACAATCTTATTTATATGCACGCCTCTCTCCCTATCAATCGTTTTTAACGAGTAGAATGTAATTTATCTATCGACAGAAATGTGCCCGTGGCAGTCGAGTAGTTCTACCAATGAGACCATAAGGGAATTCTCGACGAGACATGAGAAGGAAATATTAATTTACCTAATCTTTGGCCCATGGGGTTGAAAAAGGAAGGAGGGGAGAAAGTAGGAGAGAGGAGAGAGAGTTCCTACTATGGAAGAGTGATACCATGCGGTGGTACAGATTAGACGGCGATGGAGTAATCCGACGAAGGATTGTTCTGAGTGCTCGGTCTTGACCACAGAGAACTCCTCAGGCCAAGTTTCAGCTTCTTCAGAGAATCAATGTCGCATTCGGCCTCGCTGAGCTCCGGCCGGTCCCCGTTCCCCGGCGTAGGCACAACCGCCCCCTGATTGCCGCCGACAAACGCGGTCTCCGCGACCGAGATCGGCGGAAGTAGTGTGCGTAGAGAGCTCCTGCTGGGAACATGCCATCTTACGAGATAGCCAAGAGAAACAGACGAGACTTACTGACGGATGTTGCGAATGAGCGATGATGAAGTAATCGAGTGATTAAGTGCCATAGATGTTTAATTAACACTTGTGTCAATATTTTTTCATATAATAATGATTTTTCAGATTGCTCCTAATTTCTCTGATATCCGAATAAAAGACGAGACAAATATGAATTTTTTACGGTTGAGAACCACTCGAATACTTTTAGGTACGTTGACACGGCGTGAGATTTTCTGGGAAACTAGAAATTATGGAGAATTATGACAAAAAAAGCAAGCGATGATGATTTGCGCTTGACGAATTTGAATCATTACCTTGATCGCCCCCTTCGTGGCAGTGACTTCTGTTCGGACATGGGAGAAATGTCCGAAGAGGTGCTCGACGTGCCGTGATAGATAAAATCCGAAACCGCGCGAACTGAAACAATATATCGTTAGAATATCAATGAGTCGATAACGTTTTAATTAAATTCAGATTAAATACTATGTTTTAGTTTGCCAGCATCCAGTTGATTCGATGACTCCGTGCGTGAGCTTATCAGTTGGTCCGGGTCAGACTCGCTCTCGTCGCTCTCGACATCGCCCGGGGTTTGCTGCTTTCTCTGTTGCCGCCTTCTCGACGAAACGCTCTTCATGCTCTGTGTAGATTAGATCTTTATGCTAATCGCAATAATTCTCGTAACAGAGACTTATATCCCAATCTCCATAATCGTATTAAATGTTCAATTCTTATTCTTAATCAACAGTTTTATATATATATATATATATAAATTTAAAAAAGATTTTATATTAGATTTCTCTCTCTGTCATTTATTTTTAATTCAATTATTTTAAATTTATTAAATAATATTTTAAAATTCTCTTTGAATCTCTTTCTCTCTCCCAAATAAAAAAATTTAATCATAATAATAATATGCTAATTTAGAAAAAATCTAGTTAGTGCATATACCGTTGCCGCTGGTGGGGGACTCGCGCATCCTTCGGTCATGGCGTGCTCGTGATACATGAAGCTGTGCAGAAGGGTATTGTTCGGATGAAGACCGGCCGCTGTGGCCTCCGCCGCGCCTCCCAGTCCTCCCAATGCGCCCAACCCTGCCAGGCTTGCCCCGCCACCCTCCGAAAGCTGGAACGTAGCGTACGGCGAAATGTCCTCCGCTGTCTCTGTAACCCATCAGAGGCATTGCCTACCTTTCAAATCGCGTCGGGCTAACTGTTTCAGTCGTCCATTCGTTTCGAGCGAATGAAGAAGCGTAAAAATTCGCTTCGAATTTCCGTTTGGTTATTATTTCTTAAAAACAGATTCATTTCTCTCTCTGTCATTTATTTTTAATTCAATTATTTTAAATTTATTAAATAATATTTTAAAATTCTCTTTGAATCTCTTTCTCTCTCCCAAATAAAAAAATTTAATCATAATAATAATATGCTAATTTAGAAAAAATCTAGTTAGTGCATATACCGTTGCCGCTGGTGGGGGACTCGCGCATCCTTCGGTCATGGCGTGCTCGTGATACATGAAGCTGTGCAGAAGGGTATTGTTCGGATGAAGACCGGCCGCTGTGGCCTCCGCCGCGCCTCCCAGTCCTCCCAATGCGCCCAACCCTGCCAGGCTTGCCCCGCCACCCTCCGAAAGCTGGAACGTAGCGTACGGCGAAATGTCCTCCGCTGTCTCTGTAACCCATCAGAGGCATTGCCTACCTTTCAAATCGCGTCGGGCTAACTGTTTCAGTCGTCCATTCGTTTCGAGCGAATGAAGAAGCGTAAAAATTCGCTTCGAATTTCCGTTTGGTTATTATTTCTTAAAAACAGATTCATAAATATTTTTTTTTATATTATTAAGATTGTGGTTTTTTAAGAATTAGGTGGTTTTCTTTTAACTTAAATTTATTAATTTTTTTCTGTTCCAGGCGAATATATGTACATATAATACTCATATGTGAAGTGTGTTGTCTTCTCTTTGCAGCTTCATTTTTAGGCAATTTTGTTTTACCATTGAGCGGCGCTAAAGGCGACCGACTCTTACCTGCGTAACAGTAATTATAGTACCAAACCTGGCAGTTGTCCAGATCGAAACAAAGGTTCACCTGGAATCTTGTCAGGTCCAGCGCCCGTATTTGCCGCTTGTTGCAGAGCCACTTTGTGTATCGTGGCATAATAACGCTCTCGTTGTGTTTCGGCATTTTGTTGATTCTCTTGGGATTCTTTCATCGGCCGTTGCACCGGACCCCCCAAATATCCTGGCAAACGCATCTTTTTATTAATCGCTCTCAGCATTATTTTTTTCATATATTAAAAAAATATTTGCAGATATATTTAGAATACAGTATTGTTGATAGAATATATTTAAATATAAAATTAAAATTAATAACAAAAACTATTTTATAAAATAAATTTGAGAAATAATTGCATGTTCGTCAAAGTGAACTCACTGTTCCTCCAACGAAAGGCGACGATTACCGCTGCGGCGACCAGCGCGATAGTAGCCACGATCAATGGCAGTATCACTTTAATGTCCGCATAAAACGGCATGACCGACGTTATTCCGCGCTTTGACAGTCCTGGAGGCGGTGATTCTGCAAAGTTACAGAAACACAGTGCTTTTGGATATATGTGTTAAAACGTAGTAGTTCTATCGGATGGCGTAGCTTGACTGTCGTTTCCTGAATTGCTTAAAAATTGCGCTACTCTTATATTAATTTTTCTTTTATTTTACATTATTTCGACCTAAACCTATTTTCAAACTTACCACCTTCCTTCGTCAATGTCACAAACGTGAACTCTGCCTGATTACTACCAGCCACGTTATGGGTCTCGACCTTGAGCTGATAGACCGAGCTCGGTGTTAAATTTGTCACGACGAATCGCCGTTGCATTTTGACGTTGTTCGACACCAGAGTCCAGTGAAACTCGTTTATAGGTCTGTATTGAATAACAAAGTACTTTATGGGACATCCATTATCAGGCCAGACGTGCAATCGTAGCACCAAAGTAGTGGAGTTCGGGCTGACGAAAGCGGCCGATGGTGGAATTCCCGGAGCTTGACCCTGAGTTCGAATCGAGAGCACCGGAGACGGTGGACTGCTGCCGATCTTATTGTGCGACGTTAAATACAACTGATACGTGTTCCCGCACAGCAGCCCCTGTTAAAAAATTGCAATTGTTTCTTTTTGCCTGTTGTTTTCGATCAATTTAATTTTTACTTCTATTGTTAACTCGATGACAATCGCTTTAAACATGTACTAATTAATCGTGCTTTAATATTTTTTATTAATTTCATCAATAAAAATATTTCAAATATTTCTTGATTTCGGACAAGTTTACCTTTAATTCGTGGTTGGTAGCGTGACGAGATAATTGTAACTCATCGAGAGTACCGTGAGTAGTTCGATAATATAGTGTGTAACCCGTCAACGGTGCGCCACCGTTGTGCTCAGATTTCCAATGCAGTAATACACTACTCGACGTGGAGCTAGTTACATATAATACGGGAGCATTGGGCGGAACTGCAACAGTCGGTGATGTTATTCTAGACTACATTAATATTCTGCTTTATAGTCGCTAAATTAGAATCTACGTAGTGAATTGATTTAGCGCGCGCGATCAGCTATTATTAAAATCTATTTAGCAGTATATTGGTATCGTCATCCATAATCATGTAGCAATATTATAATCTCATTATAATAACATTATATTCATATATTATAATCATTATAATAGCATCGAATAGATAGATATATAAATAATCGTTTTAATGATATTACATAATAATATTGTATAATACATAAGAGATACTCTCTTATAATGTTCTTGCTTATTAAGATATAAGCATAGGATAAAAATAAAAAAACGGATTAATTGCAAAAGAGAATTACCTTGCACCGTGAGAGTATAATGCAGCTTGTCGCTGCCTTGGGAGTTCTCCACCTGACAGGTGTAATTCCCGCTGTCCTGCGACTGAAGATTCGACAACACGAGTTCTCCGGTCGTCAAGATCTGCACGTTTCTGGCAGGATCGGTGCGCATCTGCTCCGTAGTACCCTTGTACCATTCTCTCGTCGGATCCCCGACCGCGTTACACGCCAAAGTGACCGAACTCCGCCACGGATGCACCATGTGCCCGCCGAAAGACGTGATCCTGGCTGGCACTCGATTCGTCGGCACCTGCGCCGTCACCCTCGAACTCTGACCTTCGCCCATCCGGGTACTACCGGTTACCCAGAATTGATACTCGACGTGTTGCTGCAAGTCGGTCGCCTCGAAATACGTGCTCGTGGCAGGTAACGTCTTCTTACCGTGATTGAGTTCCTCCCGTCCGTCAACAACTCTGCAGAATTATTTTATTATCTTTGCCAACTTGATAAAAGAATAAATGTGATAAAAAATTTGATTTTATGCGAGATATAAGATCTTTTGGCTACATAGATATACGAGACAGACAAGGTGGAAATAGTAACACAAATTCTGTTTTCTTTTTACCGTGTGTAAAATATATCGTAATTTGTTTTATTTTTACCTTGTGTAAAGGTTGTATTTCGTAATAACTCCATTCGGTTCGAGTGGAGGTAGCCATGAGATAAAGAGAGCTTGCGGCGAGCTCACGACGACTTTGATATCAGCCGGGCTGCCTGGCACTAAATAAAAAAACGAGAGAAAAATACTTAGTAAAATTTTACCAGAAGAGATTATTTTGGAATGTCAAATAAATCACCGTCTTCATCCGTCTGACAGTAAATTGTTGTGGAGGGCACACCGTCGCCGATTCTGGTATAAGCCAAAACCTGAATAGTGTAATTAGTGTACCGCCTAAGTCCAGTTAGAACCGTCGTTAGAGCGCTCGTTTTACGAACCTAATCATGAAATCAACTAATTAATTGCGATTAGGAGAATATACAGGAAACAAATGATTAATTTGAAAGAATAATTACCTCCATCTCGTCCAGTCCTCGCCACGCATCCGCCAAAATTGGTTCGTAATTCAATTTGTAGCCTTGAATAATGCCGTTGCTGTGTGTGTTGGGCGGAGGTTGCCAGGACACTTGCAAGGACTGAGAAGTGAGCGCCGCACATCTCACATCATCTGGTGGCATGCTGGGAACTGCAAACAATCGTTTCTAAACAATTGTCTTAAAAATCCATCTTAAAAATAATAGAGAAAAACAAGATAAACGAATAAGGATTTTTCAAAAAAATTCATAATAATCACCGTCTTCCAACGTCTGCGTGAGCAATGGTTCGCACAAAGGTCCTGGTCCGACTTGATTGTAAGCTTGAACGACTAGAGTGTACCTAGTGTAAGGCCTGAGACCTGTAAGTCGAAGCTCCCCGCCACCTTCTTCCCCGTCACCCGACACGGAGCTGAAGTTGTACGATGGATTGTTCGAGCTGCAATAAGAATATCCTGCTCGTTCTTTTCCGCTAAGGTATTTATAAAGTATTCATAATTCTATAAAAAATTTAATTTTAGTTTTTTTTTTTTTTTAGATGCGGTCAGTTCAAGGAGACGTTCAATATCAAATAGAATTTTAATCGACATCCAAATATATTACTACAAAAATTACTACAAATTTTATAATTTATTGAATATATAATACTTTTATATTTGTTATTTTATACTTGAAAATTCTTAAATAATAGTTACCTCGTTTCTTTGTAACCGACGTTGAAACCTTGTATGTCACCGTGACGAAGCTCCGCCAACGGCGGTGACCAACTGACGAGAATCTCCGACGAGGAAAGTGCTCGAGCTGCGAGATTCATCGGCGGACCAGCTGGTCTCTGCGGTTCAGTCCTGACGATAAGTTCCGCCGAAGGGACAGATCGACCCGCTGGACCTTCCGCTATCACGCGTATGGTATATCTCGTGGCTGGTTTCAGGTCATCGATTAATGCCGCATACGGCAATGGTGGTCCGGTAAACTCTTGTTGCTGCCACATTCCACCTAGCGGTTTCAATTTCAAGATTTTATTTAGCTACATGTTAAAGATGATAGATCGAAAAAAATGACTTCTTATGCCAGATGATCAGGATAAAAAGTAAATTTTGAAGAAATATATTGAAAGAATATAAAGAGAAGTACAGATAAAATTATATTTGTTAATGTTACGATTATTTTTTTATACGCATGATATTATTTGGATAAATAAGTTACAATTTCCAACAGAATAATTATTTAACTAAATGTAAAATTATACTTACTTAAAACTGAATTTCATATATTATATCTTATTTCACGTGAATAATAATTTACCTTCGCCCTCTTTGTACTGAAGAATGTATTTGGTGACCTCGCTAGTGTCCTGCGACTTATGTTGCCACTTAACGTTAATGCTACGACTCGCCACCATGGCAGTTTCTAGGGCGTTCGGTGGTTGTGGTGGCTCTAAAACGTGCGGAATTCGATATTAATGCACTCATGTGTCGATATATATGCGCATAGCGCAAGAATATTACATTTGGAATTCAATTATTCCATATCGGGGCGAATTGACCTACAAAATCGTATCGTACCTTGCACGAGGAGTTGCACCAGCTGCTGATCGCGGCCATAAAGATTGTTCGCCTGGCAAAAATACGCACCGCTGTCGGCGGCTTCCGCCGATGAGATTTGCAATTGCGCTATGATACCGTCCGGTGTTACTTCCTGCTTCACTGCGACGCTTTATAGCAAATTTATAAAAGTCCATTAAAAACTCTGTGCGAGAGGCACAACTATGAAATATTCATATGCCGTCGCATCACACAGAAAAGTTACACGCTAATATTTTACAACTCCCTTTGAACAACATATTTCGGTATTCTCTTAATAAACGGATAAATGGATTTTATTTCACCCTTTCAATTGGATATATGGTGCGCTCTCTTGCATTTTTCAAGAGTGAATAAACTTGACGTGCCTTCTCTATTATCAGCCCGGTATTCATTATTAATATCTTAACCGTCATATTTTATTTGCTAAATTCCGCTCGATGCGATCGATTTATCGAGAATAACGCACGGCTCGCCATAAATGTGGCACACTGAACGAGCGAGAGGCGATAATTTAACGAGAATCGTAGCAAGGTAGAGATTTTGCGCCGTGCGCAAGTTTCGGTTAATTCATCGCGTATCGATTTATCGCGTCCGCGAACTCCTTTCGATGATTATACTACGTACAGTTAATCTCAACTTACCGGTAATTCGTCGAGGGATTAAGCTCGCTTTTGCCGCCTTTCAGCCAGGTAACGGTAACCGGCTTATCGCCGTGTACCTCACAGTGTAACGTCGCCGTATCCCCTTTCTTTACGGTTACGAGCCGCGACGGTGCCGCGAAATACGGAGATGCTATAAAACCGCAAAGCGACACACAGAGAAATTGAATGGCAAGATAAAAATAAGACGAAGGCTGTGCTCGTATTATTGATATTACGCTCACCATACGTGTTATTGAAAAGCGTGTTATTTAATTGCAAAACGCGATTCAAATATTTTACTCACAATTGACTTTTAACTGCACGACCTTGCCTAAACCACTTCCTATGCCGTTGCTCGCGTGGCATAGATAGAAACCTTCTCTGTCTTCTTTCACATGTTGCAGCAACAGCGTGCCGTTGCTGAGGATTTTGGTGTACGTTCTTTCACGCAACTCCTCGTAATCACCAGCTTTGCTTCCTGTTAAAAAAAAAATGTACCGCATCAAAGTCAACTAATATTTCATTATACACTTTAAGCTAAAAAAAAAAAAAAAAAAAAAAAAAAATTTTAAAAAAAATATTTTCTTTTCATTATACCCTTTAAGCTAAACCAAAAAAAAAAAAAACAGAATAGTTTCAAACAGAAAGTATCTTGTAAGTAGTAAAATTAATCCGTTTCTAACGAGTTCTGATAAATAAAAAATAGATAAATCTCGCACGGTAAAATATTGGATATCAAAATTGCTTTGTTCGTCTCACCGGTGGCTTTCTTCCAGACGATCGTCGGTGTCGGGACGCCCTGCGCTTGGCAGTGCAAAGCAACGTGGCGGTTCCTCTCGACGCTCACGTCGATCGGCTCGACGATCCATCTGGGCGGCACTGCAACGTCAGAGAGAGCCGCTTTACACAAATCCGTCACGAGTGCCAATGTTCAACTTATTATGTCTTGCTTTACTGGTCGTTAGCGATTTAGAGACAGGTACGTTTTCACGATAGACGGAGAATCGTAAAAAAGCACGGCGCGAACGAAAGGAAGCTACGTGAGCTCGTGTCGCTTTCAACGCGCGACTCTACGCGTCGTCAAAGAGATCGAATCTCAAACAAACCGATAAAATAGACGTGAAAGAGAGAAAGAGAAAAAGAGAGATGTACACACAGAGAAATAGTCTCGCGTGTGAAGCTCCGGAATGTTCTTTTGATCTTTCTTTTGAAATAATGCGCTACTTTCGTTCAGTTCGACTTTTGCAGTTCTGAAATTTCCACGCTTTTGACGCGACGTACGCGGCTATTTGCATGATGAAGAAACTGATAAAGATACTGAGAGAAGATACAGTGAGAATGAAGGTAAGTATGTAGGTGGGGGTAGAGTTGGAGAATCAGGGGTTCATGAATCGATGCGAGGCGTATTTCGCGGGTGTCAATTGATATATATATATATATAAAGTCTCGTGTCATTCGCACGCCAGGCAGCAGCAGACAATTCACCTCTATGTTCAACACGGCAACAGGGTAACAAGGAAAGTGACAAGGGACAAGGGCAATCGATCATCTATTATCTGCAACGTTAACTCTCCTAGGAGCTACCAACAAGGACAACGAAACGAAGGCGTTTCTATGATAGCGCGCGATACAATGGTATACGTATACAGCTCTTAGCTCGTAAAAAAAAAAAGGAAAAAAAGTAAGACGGATGCTTGATCGTCCAAGTTTCTCGACCAGGCGCGAGATTTTGCGTCGCGCATCGATTTGTCGACAAAGTCTCGTAAGGGTTGGTTCTTGTACGATTAGGTGTATTTGTTTGGCAAGGTTCTACTTCTTACTGTGGTGAAAAAAACGCTGCACAAGCGAGATACTGTGAGTGGGAGTTTTCAACGTTTTACAAGACGGCAAAATATCGGCCACGCATCGATCGCGTGCGACAATATATAATATATATATAGATAGATAGATATAGATATATAGACGTATATGTATATAATATATATGTAACGTGAGTATACAAATATATATATATACTTGAGCCCAAACGATGGCGTGTGAAACAAGTAGAACTCTCGGAAAGTGGTACGCAAGGGCGGGATGTGTTTGGGTGCGGACCTCGTGAAGGAGGCGAATAATAATAATGATAACAATAATAATAATAACAATATATATGTATATGTAAGTACCCGCGTCTAACGACTAGTTCGATAAAGTACGAATTTAATTAATAATATATGTACTACTAGCCTACATTACCAGTCGCTAACGAAGCGGAAGACGTACGCTCGAATTCGAATTCTTTAAATACATTCTTAAGAACTTAAGGCTCTATCAATCTCGATGAATGTTTAAAATCTTTTTATTACTCTTGTAGAATCGTTCGTCTACTTTCACGCGAAAAAGAGCTTGCAAATGCGTTATGCGAGCGTTCGCATTCTCGTCCTGTTGCGACGAAAGAAATATAAAAATGAGAAAGAGAGACAGACAGAAAGAAGAGAAAGAAAGAAAGAAAGAGAGAAAGAGAAAAAGACGGAAATAGATAGATAGATAGGTAGAGATGGTGAGAAGACATGCAGAAGTGAATAAAAGTTGTCTTCCAACGAGCCCAAAGAGCCAGCGCAAAGGTCGGTGAAGATTGGTCGTGAGCGTAGTGGCACGTGCTCGCACTCGGGTGATCAAGATACTTGATATATATATATAGATATATAGATAATTAAATATAATTTTATAAACATACACATATACAGAGATATATATATATATTTACACGTAAAATGTGCAGGCAGAGTGATCTACGACTACGAAAAGAGATCATGCCGAATGAAATATCGATGCTCACACGCACGCACGCATCTCAGGCCAGAAAAAATCTTTTTCGTTTTCATTTATTGTAGCTGCAGTTGTTGCTGTTGTTGTTGTAGTTGTTGTTGAAACGAGTAAAAAATAAGGAAAGGTGCAAACTGTTACCTTTATTATTCGGTCAAGTCAAGCAAACCTCGGGGATCCACGAGATACCGACGCATTCCCAGAGAGCCAAAGCAACGCAAATGTAATACACACTGTGTCTGGGTTAAGAAGGAAGATCTCGAATGGATTTCTAGGATAAATTCATTAGGTTAAGGAACGAGAAGTGAATGAAAAGAATGAGAGGGAGGGGCGGAGGGGCAAGGGTAAGTGCGTAACGATCGTGATCTCGCCTGAATATGCTGTCGCTCGAAATTACAGTATCGTCTTTAAGCCGTGGACTACAGTCTCTCTAAATGTCACATCCTGGCGAGAACACAACTATGATGAGCTATGGTGAAGCGGGAACCGAGTCAATAAGCGCGATGATATGTCGATGACGATGGATGATGAAATAGCGACTGAGACTGGAGAGCGGTTGACAAGGGGCTGTGGAATGGATGTTTGCAAGATGACGTTGGACCCCGAAATCTCGAAACTTTGCATCTCGTTACGAATATCTAATTGTAAGTACAAAATCATTGGAAATTTCTTTAATAACTTTTCTCGACATATATAACGTTGTATTTCATGATTTAAATTTACGAAAAATTTTTTTATTATTTAAATTGTATATATATATATAATTTTTTTAAAGATATTTTACGCTTTAAATTAACGCTCAAACATTTTTAAATATCAATTAACTTAATCTATGTAAACAATTTTATAATAAGATTCCTATAAATTTGAAAAGAATACGAATTAGAAATCTATAATTAATAATCTGATAATTTAATTTTTAGATCTAGGATGAAACAATTATGGGATTGACAAGGCGATTATTAGGAACGCTAGGACAAGGGTCGGCGATCATCTAGTTACCTTTTACCTGTAGCTTGGCCGTGTACCTGACCTCGGCGGCGGGGTTCGCGGCGACGCAGGTATAGTCGCCGGAGTGCTCGGCCGCAAGATTCGTTATACTGAGGAGGCTCGAGTAGGGATCCAGTTGGGAGACGTTTGCGACGGAGGCCAGATTCGGCGGCAAGGGAAAAGGATTTTGGCCGTCTTTCAGCCAGGATATGGTTAGGGGTGGATCTCCCGCCGCGACCCCGCACACCGTCCGCGTCCGCATCCCCTCGGATAGTCCCTCTTGGAACGTAAATGGCTCAATAATAGGGGGTACTGGAAAAGGTCAAGAGAGAAGAGAGAACCATACGTGAGAGCAAGAAAAAGATGGCACCAAAAAACGCAAGAACCTTGTAATACCAGGTATATGTGTTTTTTTTCATACATATATATATAAATATATATATATATATATATATATATATATATATATATGAATATATATATATACATAATTTTTTACTTTAAACTTTTTCTCTTTCTTTATCGCGATTCGTTCATATTGCCACAATTTCCCATATAAAGATTACATTTTTCAATCCCATACGAAAAATTATATTTTCCCATATAAAAGATTACATCTTTTGTGTAGAGAAAAATGTGATTTTTCATACTATTCATCGTACATATATATATTGAAAAAACGTATTAAATTTCCTACATCATTGAATTGACGAGACAATTTCATCGAAATCGGAAAGATGATTAGTTTCGCGCGAAATCGCAGCTTCCACGGCTTTTATTCCATAGAATTATCAAAGGCAGCACTTTTTCGTTTGCGCGAATGTATGAGATATGCTATTGAAATTCCGTTTTTTGCTTTGAATATATATATATATAGATTTACAGTATGTGTATATATATATATATTTCTTTTTTTTCGTTTTCGTTCCTTCCGCTTCTCATATAAACAGTAGTACGTCCATGTATATGTATAGATATATATATAGAATATAATATGTATATATGTAGAATATGTACAATAGAGGCAGTATAGTAACGTAGCAATGTAGAGGAGAGAGAGGGTGGCCCCGCCGCGGACCTGCCCCTGACGCCCTCACACCTTATACACTTAAATTGACATTGCACACTTGCACGCAGCATCCGATTCTTTCCAATATAAGAGCGAGCGTTCGTTCATTTTTCCGAAGCTACCGCGTCCGTTTCCTCTTCAAGATATTTAATTACCTTTTGCATATATTTTTGCAAAAATTAAAAGTGTAACGCGGATAAGATAGATTGTTAGACATATAACTAGATGTTATGGAGGAAACGCGCGGCGTCGCTCTCGAGAAGTCGAAGTGCGACTTCCCTTCGAGGACGTGTGGGAGAGGTAGAAGCGGGTATCGTGCATAAGGAAGAGTCACGCTAAGCGTGAGCAATCTTTAATTACATGTCACCAAGTCTCTACGTTCCTTGGTGACGAAAAGTCGGCGAGGTCATCGTCATGGGTCGCTTGGAAGCATCGTCGGATTTAAATTTTATTATTCTTCTTCACATTAAACGAAACTGTTTACGGATTTTGCATTTTCGCGAATCAAAATGTAACAACGTTGACGTTTATAATAAGAACACAAGATATCCACATGCAATTTTTACACGCGCGACCCATTTTCGAAACCGGCCGATGTGGTTCGCACGCGCACACGCAACGCACACGCACACGCAAAACTCGGGCGGTCAGGCGGTCGTCGGGCAAATTGTAGGGGGCCTAGAGGAGGATTACCATGAACCACAAGCCGCTGCGTGTGCGATACCTCTGCGGCCACATTACGGGCCACGCACGAGTAGTTGCCGTTGTGATCTGGAGATAAACTTTCAATCATCAGTATGCTATTGTACTGGTCCACATTGGTGACAGTGACGCGCTCCGACGGTCCCATCGAGCGTCCGTCTTTGAGCCACGTGATGGACAGCGGCTGATCGCCTCGAGTCACCGAGCATGTCAGGGTGGTACGCTCGCCGAGGTGCAAATCGCGATCTGCCGTGAACGGGCTAATTTTGGGGGGAACTGGAATAATAACAACGAGAGAGCTCGTGAGCGCACGTACAATACATAGACGGCAATCGGTAACACATGGCCGTGTGTCTGCGTCTCCCCTTGCGTGCGCAATCCTAGAAATTATCTCTACCGCTCTTGGCCCACGTGACCTTCATCTTTGTTCCTCGTCTTTTGATTAATCATTCGGTAATGCTCGAATTTGTCTTCCCGATCTTGCGAATCGCCCTCGTCTTCTCATGGCATCCGTTACCAGATCGTCTTCCGTCGGAATGGTCCATCTGCGACAATTTGTTATCGTAGGAAACCGGAAGTGATATGCCTTACCGATCACCGCGACGTCTCCGGATCTCCTGGCGCTGTGACCCTGCTTGTTCCTGGCCCAACAGGTGTATACGCCAGGGTCGCCATTTTTCTGCACGTTGGTAATCATCAGGGTGCCGTCCGGAAGTACTTTCTGACGCAGATTGTCCGGTAACTCGCGGCTCGATTTCTCCCACTTGATCTCCTCGATCGGATACCCAGCCACGGGACATTTCAAACGGAGAGCCTCGCCAGCGACGGCGGTCACTTTCGGGATCAGGCGTATGTACGGAAGTCCTAGATGAGAAATTTCTTCATTTATATATTTGTCTGCATTTTAAAGCTCTAACGAGAAACATTGATAGAATCGATAACAACCGATTTAAAAACGTTATTATCTTATTCAATTTTTACTGCAAAAGAAATATTATTTTTCGAACATATCTCTCTCTCTCTATCTCTCTCTCTCTCTCTCTCTCTCTCTCTCTCTCTCTCTTTTATATATAAAAAGTTTAAATTTTAATTCTTACTTTAATTTATAATCATGTAATATAATGATGGAGCATCAGATTCTCATTTTTTTATAAACAACAATAATGTATACATAATAATATATTATACAATAATATGTTATACATATATTATACATAATAATAAAATAATAAAGTAAATAAAATAAAATAATATTATATATTATACATAATAATATATAACACAATAATATATTATAGTTTACATGTGAGCACAAGTCATACATTAGTGATAAGCTATTATTTATGGATGCGTCATTAAAAAATCGAGAAGAGGATCGTTATGTATGATCAATTTTGGAGGATCATGTAAAATTAATGTTATTTGTATTTTATCTAGTTATATATTACGTATGAGAATAATTAACGAAAGTTACGTACCATAAACATTCAGTCGCGCAGCATGTGTCACTTTTCCCGCGCGATTTTCGGCGGTGCAGGAATATTCCCCTCCATCCTCCACCATAACGTGGCTTATATTGACATGGGATATGACGTCGCCGTGCACCGTTACATATTGACCAATGACGAATCTTGTGCAACAATCAATGCGTTTTTTATTTAAAAAAATCAATTTATGCAGTAATAGTACATTCATAGTAATTTGTCGTATTCATCGAATTTAACAGAAAAAGAGAATTAAATTTTGATATTCGCATTTTCTCCCCCCCCCATAGATACACACACAGTTACAGTAATAATATTTCTAGCACAATAGGAGTATAATGTTACGTAATGGAAGCACAATAAAAATCGCGATGGCAAAAAGGTACATAGATTTTTCAGAGAAGCATTTCACACACGTTTCTATCTATTATTGATCTGCATCAGACAGATCTCAAAACGGCGGGATCTCATAAATTTCGCGATATATCTCGGCGTTATCATTGCGCATTATTGTTTAAAATTTGTTTAGATTCTATCTCCATTAGCCGAGAATAAAACTATAGCCAACGATACTGCGTCCGACAACGAACGAAGAGATACGAGACGAGCGGCGGACTAGAAAGGCGGTGATAAAACGGTATACGGCGAGATCCACGAGATGATGGATCCTTTATACCGATCAGTCGTTAAATTACATGTGGGGCTCGCGCATATACGTATATATTCAACGACGTGGCCGGTATATACGTCATCCACACGCGATAAATATTCTCGTTTACGCCTGGGATATTATACACGGAATTGCTCGCACGCATTCGCGAGAGGATCGCAAATGACACCGTCAGAAATTACGATTCAGTTATGATAATAGCATAGGCGACGTTTAGGGCGTTTTGCACTCTGGATGGCGCCTTCATTTCAAGAACGTCGATCTCGATTTCGTACTTCGCCTTTCCGAATGCTATTGATATCGTCAATAATAGCGTGTATGCGTCATGTGATAATAACACAACGTAAAGAGAATAAAATCGTATATTTGATATTGTAATCGATACAACTCAATGTCATAATTATACGGATAAAATGACGACTCGTGATATTGTTTCTTTTTCTTTCTTTCCACTTTTCTCTTTTCTTTTATGTAGTATCATTAGGTACACCGGTGAGTTATGAGATATATGAAGTCTCGAAAATGAAAATGCGGAATATCAGCAAAAATGTAGGTCATTTAAGAGAGAGAATTAAGGGACGAACTTACCTTCCATTAGTCGGTAAGGGAAAACCGTCCAACGCCCATGATACCTGTGGTGTAGGATTTCCTGCGGCGGAACATTTTAAGGATACGGCGGGTCCTGGCTGGAGTGTTTGCTCGATGAACGAGTATAGGAGTACCGGTGGCGCGTCTGGAACGTTAACGTGTAAGTCGAGCTTAATTATGCGCCGGATACTTTATGCCGCCAAGTGTTATCGTTAATCAAAGTTGTTGAAACTTGTGGAAATATGTAGCTGCAAGCGACCGTTTAAAATAAAAGAGAAACGCACGCGGTGCGAAATTAATGTAAATTCGATATCGCGGCTAAAACTCTCCATTCTTAAAAATTATTACAGAAATATTTCGCGTTCTTATCTTACAACCCAAACCTAGTATTTATATTCATGTTGGGAAATTTTATACCCGTACACATTTGTACAATATTTATCTCTGCTATGAAAATGTGGATTACCGATGTAATCCAGGCGAGTACCGTGACCTGACAATAAAATGCGAGTGCAGCGGGGGTTAAACGAAGGGTTACGAGCGAGCCGTGGAAAGAAGAAGGCGAACGATATCCTGATCCTGAAAGCCGCCACGCCCAGCGCACATCGCGATGGAAATACCAGAGACAATGGACCCGCCGTCATGGAAGCACGAATATTTCTCCTTTCTTTGTCGACGTTACTCCGGCAACACGGAGAAAACAAGACTGATGTGCGCGAAGCCTGCGAAAGAGAGAGAGAGTAGTAGAAGAAGATTCTGTATGTGAATCTTGGCCGTGTAACACGAGAGAAGAGCTCATCGTGATCCAACAACCGCGTCGATTTATTCGGCTGTACTCGTAATTAAAAATGTCGATTCCATCGTCATTAAAAAAGCTTCGCTGTTGCGTTGCAAAGAGAATATGGGCCCGCTGCTCTCGAAGAAGGAAGGAAGAAAATGGTCCGAATGAATGTCGGATTCTCTTGCTCGCGAATCCATGCGAAAATTGATGAATCCTCATCTCTATGCCTCTCGGCGATCATTAACGCGTCTCTCGTAATCGCGACATCGCGGCTGTTTCACCTCCGGTCGATGAAATGGAATTTTAAGTGATGGTGATAGCGACAGCAGTATTACGGTATCCCGGAGGAAAATGTGTTTGTCATTCAACAGGAACATCTTCTATACCGCTTTTACGTTGATTGTACGTCGCGCGATTCAATATCTGTCAAACATCTGTGTGCGAATCGTCGGATATAAAAAAGAAATATTTGTTATAATTGAATTAAAATATCGATCGATACGTGTATATATTGGTTTGTGTATAAATATTTTGATTTCAGCGGAGATTTCTTATAATGTCACAAGAGAATTCTTTTATTACAATAGAATAGTGGGATTTATATTTTCATTTCTCCGATGTTCTCGACATTGCCACAATTATTTTTGACGGAATGATAAAAATGGCAAATTAAAGCACTCGGATGTTAATCAAATTGGTAAAAACTCGCTTTAAGCGCGCGCGTACAGCTGCGATTGAAATACGAGAAATTCATTTTGAGTAATTTGGCAGTTTTATTCGGTCGAGAGATCTACGTGACATGGGAGTACCCCGTTCTCGCTCGAACTAAACTCGAGGCTTCCTTAGATAAGGACCCGGATACAACGCTTAACGACCACAATTATCCTAAACAGTTGCGAAAGCCTGCCCTAGAAACTTTAATCTTTTTGAGATCTACAAATTCGTGATTAAGTTGCACGCTTACGTGCATAATTACTCCATTTGCTATCGTGTATGTATACAGTACAAAAATTGCAAAGTATGAATATATTCGATAAATATCAAAATTATTCCAGTTTTTCATATGTAAAATAGATTGAATAAAAAAGATAATAATATATTGCTAATAATAATAATAATATTATTTATAATTTTTATTACTATAAAAAGATAATAATAATAATAAAAATAGATTGCTTTTTTGTAGGAGATATTTTTATTTTATTGGGAAATTGTCTCATTATTAATTTGTAATTGAGTAATTTGGCAGTTTTATTCGGTCGAGAAAATGACTTTTCTGCCATCGCTTCTATTCTCTGTTGCGTACCATAGAATTCGCGCTTTTATTCTGATGTTTGAAATTGTAGCGAGCGAAACGTTTTATGTGCAGCGGCGATACACGAAAGATATGTTCTTGAGGTCCATATATATATACATATATACATATATGTACATATATATATATATGTATTGCATTAATACCGGAGAGAGAATAAATAGAGGAAAGCTCTGGCAAAAATTAATTTTCCTACATCCAATGCACATTTTTCGTATGCTAATAATCAAACAAACTGATATCAATTTTATTATAGCGCAACGACGTGTTTCGCGGAAATCACTTTTTTCCTCCCAGATTTCTCCGAAACCGAGGCAATCGAAGCGAATCAATAAAGCGTCCGCTAATCGCGAGAACGTCGGTAACTGCCGACCAATCGTACGCGGCTACTTCGCCGGGTAGATTTTACGAGTGAGTGGTACTTGAATTTGGCGGAATGCATTTCGCACAATTTGCCGAGCGCACTTTCTCTCTCTCTCTCTCTCTCTCTCTAAAAAGATAATAATATATTGCTAATAATAATAATAATATTATTTATAATTTTTATTACTATAAAAAGATAATAATAATAATAAAAATAGATTGCTTTTTTGTAGGAGATATTTTTATTTTATTGGGAAATTGTCTCATTATTAATTTGTAATAATTAATGTTTCGATAAATTGGAAGAGCATTTATTTAAAATGCTAATAAAAAATACAGAGATATTTATTGTAATATTGAAAATTAAAGAGTTTGTCCGAAAAACAAACTTAATTAACGCATCTTGTTTTTTGTTCCTTCGCGAATTTTTATTACTTCAGGAATTTTGAAAGTTTTATTTAATATTGCAGATTGTGTGAAATGTTCGATATAAAATATCGATTTTAATTCGTCACAGAATCTGTTATCAAAATATTTGTTGATAGATCGGTGACATAGTCAAAAGTTTTCTATACATTCAATACGAGATACTGATAAAAATAGAAACAACGAAATGTTTTTGCGTTCATGTATGAAAATATTTTGCGCATAGTGCATCTATACTTTTACCGCGATATATAGCGGTTAATAAACATATATACTCAGAGAGTGAGACATGATATAACAAGCTAAGAGCAGCAGCTGTGATAAGGCAGCCTTCTGAATAGATTGCCCGCCAAATCAGGTGGACCGAATGGTCTATGTAGTTTAGGTATTACATTCGACAAAGAGCCTATAGCCGCGCGCGCGCGCGCGGTTCCATTCACGATAGATACACGTACATGTACGCATATGTATGTACATGCGTGTACATAAGCCGGGATTATATATAATACATGCAGCGAATTACGCTATAACTGATATCGACACAATCGCGACAGCGCATACGATGCGGGGAGAACTTGTTCGCGTATAATACATGAAGTTATGATATTGAACGTCATGTTGGAGAATGTTTTTTTATTTACAATTTATCAACTTCAGTTAAGATGACTTTTAGATTGTTATGCCTCTGTAAACCCCGGAACGAAGTCCATAAGCATATATATACGGTACAATATTTTCGTTGTGATTAGTATTTCAGCTTAATGGTTGCTAATTACGACTATTAATAAAATCGCGGAACGCAAAGTGTTTAATTATCTTATATAACTCTTCTATCTCGTGTCCTCTTGTGTATGCAATTTTCTGGGAACGGCTCTCCACGTTTACAGCAAATCTGATTAATCTCCGCGTGCTACTAATGAACGGATGTTCTCGGCGAGGTCGGCGTCCCCGACAATCCCGATTCGTGCATCTCGCTTCGCGCATTGCGGAAGGAGAGACGCTGCATTATTGTGGATATTAAATTTCAGCGGCGAGCGTCCGCGGCGGATATTAAATTTTAGTTCTCGTAGGCAATGACCATATGGCCGAGTATAACATAGCGTACCAGTGACCGCGCCAAAATCGCCTCGTATTGTCGGCATCGCACATATAATTCTTTTTTCTTTATTAAACCACTGTTATCCGCAGTAAACCGTCCGAAATGTTTCCCAGGTTCGTATCAGTCCTTGTAATACAAAGCCTTGAGTTAAGCTATCCAGAGAGCCAGTTATATGTCAGTTATATTAATTAAACTGAAAACACATTTAGATATATATCTATAAAAATAAAATTTATTGAACGTAGAAGTGATATATATGTATATATATATATAAAATAATATCAAAAATTAAACAAATAGTTGTTTATTTTTAAATAGAAAGCTTCTCTGGAATTGAATTATTTAATTAAAAGCTCTACCAAAAGTTTTCATTGAAAAATTAGCACCGTAGAATCACGGGTTTCGTGTACACGAATTATGAAATAATTGCAACATGTGCTTTTCGTTTTATTTTATTTTTATGGTATGACTTAATTCTTACGTATATCTCGCGTGTTGCAGAATCGCAAAAAATTCATTTTTCTGCGAATAATCTTTTTTGCGTGTGAAATTATTTATTATATTATTTGGCAAATTACTTGTATGTGGACACACATAAAACATTATGCATTTAAAATTATTCAATTAGTTTTTTTTTTTAGTTAATTTTTTACGAAACATATTTAAAACTTTGATTTACTGACAACTTGTGTATCTAGATTCTTATAACAAACATTTACCTCCTTGAAGCGAGGGATATATGTAGGACGAAGGCTCGTGCAGCCAAGATACGACGCGCACCAAATCTTTGACGTAGCTAGGTATGATGCAGCGTAATATCGCGGTGCATCCCCTCGATGCTCCCCCCGTCACCTCCACGTCAACTTTGTATGCTTGAGCCACCACTGCAAACAGTAATAAAATTTCGCATAAACCCACGTGTTTCAGCAATTGTGTAAAAATTGCAAAACAATGGCTTACGTAGTACGTAACTTTTATTATATTTCTTTGCTCAAGAATAGAAATTGATACCTTATGAGAGAAAAACATTTTTATATTACACGCATAATTCACAATTATTATAATGATATAATTTTATCCGACTTTTGAATTTTTAATTATATTTTACTTTATATTTTACTTACTATTTTATTTTTCGAAATTTATTATTTCGTATACTCCAATTTAAAAAAAGTTGATGCTATACAAAAGATTACAAGTTACCATTATATCGAGTTAACAGCGCAATCAACAAAATAGGGATTCTCGCGTGTCTATGCCTTTAATTGTCGCCATAATGAAAAAGCAATCGCAGTAGTTACTCCGACGTCTCGTTTTCAATTACATTGCGCACCTCCGTCTCGTTACATCGTGAAAGCGCGTTATCTGTGTATACGCGGATGTACGTACACTGTGTACATACACACCGGGTGTCGCGCGTGTTGTTACGACGCAAGCATCGGGTGAATCTCGACGTCGCTCGGTGTCGAGGATGCGCCGAGGCATGAGGCGACGCGAGCGTATAACGAACGCCACGGCGTCGCATCTCCTCTCGCCCCTTCCTTTTCCTTTTTCCGTCGTCGTCGTCGCCGCCCTCTCGCGCTCGAGAGGCACCGTACCCTCTTCCGGAGATTTTATTTACGTGGAAATTCCAAGGGCGACGGCCAGCTTTACCACCAATTTTCTGCAGCCGTTCCGTTCCGACCGGGCCGCAGCCGAGCGGTTTTTCTCCGCCTCGTCCGTTCTCGCGCGCGGCGAAATTGCATCGGCGATCGCTTTGTCTCACTCGTCCGCGCACCCCGGGATATCCCTGCTGTCGGCGCTCGCTCGAATTCCCTTTGACGTAAATTCCGTGCATTACTGACGCTGACGAGCGAGAGACGTTAACTTCATTGTTGTTTCAAAGGCCCCTCCTCTCTGCTGGTCGCCCTGTTCTGCCGCCCACATCCCCGAACGCCTGATCTAGATATACGGGGTGTGTCCGGCACCGCTCTGTGCGACACATTCAACTATTAGCAATAGATTCTTTAATGAATTTTTAATAATCCGCGAATATATTTTACAAACAGCCGTTGCTCGTTGCGGCTTCTTCTGAAATTTTCAACGTTGAATATTCCGGGGAAGCAAAACTTCGAATTAAATCTCCACCGAGAAACGCAATTCACTTGGGACCGACTAACAAAGTTTTTGCTAGCTCCTCGCTGATGAAATTTAATTCGCGGAAACCTCTTAATTTCCTGTTTTAAATATTTCTGTAATTAGAGCTGCAAAAATTTTTTTTATCATTTTTTATCCAAAAAGAACTGGCTTTAAATTCATCGAGATATCTATTAGCGGTCGATACCGTGAAAGGTACCGGACGTCCTGTACAGGACGCGACGAGATGGTACAAAGACGGCAAAGACGAAGTTGCACAGTTACGAAACGAGGTAAAACGTTGTAAAAGAAGATCCCTCTGCACTTCAAAGTGCTCCCTGCCTCTCGACCGACAGCTCGGCACGCGGCGACCGCCGCCTCTTTGCCGAGTAATCAAGTTCTGTGTAATTCGATAGGTAGTATAACGCGGGCTGTCGATCGGTGCGCTACCATCGGTGTCTTCCCTTTCGCTGGGACGGCGCTTTGACGATGCTTTTCGAAGATGACGCGAGAGAAAAAGAGGGAGGAAGAGAGAGAGATTGAGAGTCAATATCCTGGCGTAAGGAGATCGGGTCACCGTCCTAGATGTCTCTGTTATTATACGAGATATCTCTGGGGATGATGCAACACTCGCTATCGAAGTAGTTATTGGTACTTTTCGCGTGAAACTGAATTGTTACGTCGAGCCTTTAACGGGGTATATTTAAGATGCGGAATGTTTCATGCTCGAGTAACTGTTTAAAATTAAATCATTCTTATTGGCGTATATTATTTTTCGTTGAGCCATACACATTTTTCTCTATGATACTATAAAAATGAAAAAACTTTCATTCGTAACTGGAGAACTACATTTTAATTACAAATTGATTCAAAATTGCATAGTTGCAATATCTATCAACCGAATGCAACTCTTAAAAATTTCAATTACTTTATGCGTTATTATTTTCGATACGTTTTTATTTAAACATTGCATTGATTCGAAAAGTCAAGCTTGCGACTCTTTTTCGAAAATTTCCGTGATTCGTATAAAAGGAGAATGATGAGGAAAATATTACGTACCGCCTAATTGAAGTTCCGCCGATGCTTGAGCCGTATCACCTTCCGATCTTCTCACAATGCATTGATACATGCCGCGATCATCCCTTCCGATTCCGTTGAGCCTCAGTAATTCCGATTGCCTTCCCGATCCTGGGAGTTGCCTGCCGTCTTTGTACCATGTGATAAAATGCGGTCCAGCCTGTGGATGTGTACCAACCTCACATCTGAACTCGGCGTTGCCTCCTAAGTGAACGCTGAGTAACATAGGCGTCACTTCCACGTGAAGAGGCGCCGTCACGATTAACCTGGCGTTATAATAAAAATATCGATATTACGTTAACTACGAGCTACATTTAACTCACGATGCTACCAGACGACGCGTGATGATGTAATCATTAAAGAGACAAGATGTAATTGAAACGCATGGAGTAAACGAAATAATAATAATAGATTATCAATTCTGTAATTAATAATTGACATTTGTCAATAATTTATTTGATTAATTTTAATCTGTATTACCTGATTTCGGCACTCGCTTCCCCACCAGGATTAGAAGCAGAACAGCGGTACACACCGCTGTCTTCTAATGTTACCGCCTCGATGGCCAGTACAGAACCAAGTAATCTAGTTCTGGGCCCAGAGAGTACCAACATTGGTTCCGCACCTGTTTGCGCGTACCACCTGCAAGCGGAAGCGTCGAGAAAATGCTTTCAACATAATAACATTCGCGAGCGTTACTCTATGTTATTTAAAGAATTCATGGTTTTCTCGTTTA